TGGTGGGGGGGCCATGCGTAAGAGAATGGACGGGGCGAGCGGGGCGAATGGGGCGAATGGGCTGATGGGTCCTGGGCCTGGAGCAGGGCTGGGTGGAGGAGACCTGGGGGGTGGGTCGCCTCCAGTGGGGGGGTATTCTGGGGCTGGAGGGTTGATGGGGGGGTATGGGGTGGGAGGGATGGGGATGGGGTTGGGCTCGGCACAGCACTCGAAGTACTCGTCGCTGGATGAGGTGGAAGGGCAGATGGCCGTCATTGCCAAGGACCAGCATGGATGCAGGTGGGTCAAGTCTAGTCTAGTCGAGTGTAACGAGGATAGGTTTCTGCTGTGGAAGTTTGGCAAGGGCAGCATGAAGCAAACGGCACACGTATTCAAAAAAATAGGTCTCACATAATGGATGTAATCAAACTCTTATACTCCCCTTTGCCCCTCGCCCACAGGTTTCTGCAGCGAAAATTCGACGAAGGAAGTCCAGAGGAGGTGGCCCGCATATTCAAGGAGATCAAGCCACACATGGTGGAGCTCATGACCGACCCATTTGGCAACTACCTGGTGCAGAAGGCTCTGGAGGTGTGCAGTGAGGTGCAGAGGGAGCAGATTCTCGCCATGGCCACGGAGAACCAGACGGACCTCGTCAGCATCTCACTCAACATGCATGGGTGAGTGGGGGTTGGGTTGATAGGTTGGTGCTAATCGATTGGTGTCAAACTGCACGTGGCCAGAGCAGTGTTTAGGGTTAATATGGTGATAACCCGCTGTCTTGTCCTGCTTCCCCCTTCCCCTGCCCCCACCAACAGCACGCGGTTGGTGCAGAAGCTGATTGAGACGCTGACGGTCCCCCAGGCGGTGTAGCGGCTTTCGAGAAGTCTCAAAAGTTGGAGACTGAGATGGCTCCCCTTCACCTCCCACTCCCACCTCTCCTTTTCTATCCCATACCAACAGCACTCGGTCGGTGCAGAAGCTGATAGAGACGGTGACGGCCCCCCAGGCGGTGCAGCGGCTGACAGCCAGTCTGGCGGGCGGCGTGGTGACGCTCATCAAGGACCTCAACGGCAACCACGTCGTGCAGCGCTGCCTGCAGCGCCTGTCCGCGCAGCAGAACGAGGTGAGCAGTAACACGAGGTGAGTACGGAGGGAGGAAAGGAGTGCATTAGTCGGGGAGTGCTGATGCTCATCAAGGACCTCAACGGTAACCGCGTCATGCAACGCTGCCTGCAGCGACTCTCGGCGCAACAGAAGGAGGTGAGCAGGGAAAGTGAGGAGCAAGCAAGGTGGGAACACAGGGAGAGAGGGTGCAACGGATTTGGCCATGGTGACGCTCAGCCCATCAAGGACCTTAACGGCTGCCACGTGGTGTTGCACTGCCCTACTCCCTCCCCCATCCCCCCATCCTTGCGCCGCTTAGCTCAATCTCAACGTGGCCCTCCTTTCGCTGTGTAGGGACATTTTCAGTGCCTAAAAAAACCCCACCCTCACTTCCTTCACCCCCCATCCCCGCAACTAGGGATGAGCAAGGGCCGAACACCGTGTTCGTGTTCGCCCCTGCACGAACACGGCCGTTCGCCGAACCGAACAGTTCGGTTCGGCGAACACTTTTCGCAAAAACAGATGTTCGGTGTTCGCCTGTGAAGGCGTGTTTGCGCGAACCTCAAACACGTTCATGTTTGACGCGGGGCAAATTGCAGCAGTGTCACGAACACTTTAAGCTAAAAAAAGAACCTGTTCGGTTCGCCACGAACATGTTCGAGGCGAAACGATTAGGTGTTAGTTTCTTTGCTCAACCTTACACCCCCCCCCCCCCCCCCCCCCCCCCCCCCCCCTCCCCCCAACACCCTTCAGTTCATATTCAATGCGGCGGTGTCCCACTGTGTGGAGATTGCATCGCACCGCCACGGCTGTTGTGTGCTGCAGCGCTGCATTGACTTCGCACAGGGCCAGCAGAAGAATCGCATTCTTGCTGAAGTCGCCTCCAATGCCCTCGTGCTCTCCCAAGACCCCTTTGGGTGAGTTTTTCCTCTTAGCGCACAATCTTTGCACAACAATCTGTCACGCCACCATGGTTTTTTGCTGCAAATGATGCTCTAGCAAGCAAGACCCGTGTTTAGGGCTAACAGCAGCCAGACTTCCGCATCAGAGCCTTGGATAAACAGATACAATTCGCAGCCCTCCTCTTACCATATCACTTGCACCATGCTCTCATGCCATGCCCTCCCCCTCTCCGCTTGCCCTCCCCTATCTCCTCCCCTTGGCCCGTTTCCCTCCTTTCCGTCCACCACCCTCCCACACCCCCTCCCCCCTCCAGCAACTTCGTGGTGCAGTACGTGCTGGACCTGGGGCTGTCCTGGGCGATGGAGGAGGTGGCAGGGCGTCTGCAGGCTTTTGATGCTCCTCAAGCATGATATGCTACTGTCCTTCCCCACTCCTCTCTCCCCCTACCCCCAGCAACTACGTGGTGCAGTACGTGCTGGACCTGGGCCTCCCCTGGGCGATGGAGGAGGTGGTGGTGCGGCTGCAGGGGCAGTACGCGCCCTTGGCGCAGCAGAAGTTCAGCAGCAACGTCGTGGAGAAGTGCCTCAAGCTCGCCCCTGTCAACTGCCGCCACCTCATCATCCAGGAGCTCGTCGTCTCGCCCCTGCTGGGGCAGCTACTGCAGGATCCCTTTGCGAATTACGTTGTTCAGTCGGCGCTCACCGTGGCTAAGGTGAGCCTGGGGCCCCGGGGCTTACAGGAGGGAGGGAGGGAGGGAGTGAGGGGAGTGCAGGGGCAGTACGCGCCCTTGGCGCAGCAGACGTTCAGCAGCAACATCGTGCAGAAGTGCCTCAAGCTCGCCCCTGTCAACTGCCGCCACCTCATCATCCAGGAGCTCGTCGTCTCGCCTCTCCTGGGCCAGCTGCTGCAGGACCCGTTCGCGAACTACGTGGTTCAGTCCGCACTGACCGTGGCTGAGGTTAGAAACGGAGGGCAGAGTGGAGGAGGGGACGGGTGGAGGCGAGGAAAGAGTTGGACCGCTGACACCCCAACATTGGAAACCCATGCCTCCCTTCTCCTGAGTACCCACCCTCGCCCTCTCCTCCCTGCCCCCTCGAATCCACCCCCTCCTCCCTGTGCTGCGTCCACCCTTATCCTCTCCTTCCTGCAGTCCCTCTAACCCGCCCCACACACCCTTTCTCCCTGGCTTTTCCTCTAAACCATCCCACTCAATCCGTCCTCCTCTCTCTCCCTCCAACCCGGCCCACCCACTCTTCCCCCTCGTCCCCCCAGGGTCCGCTGTACACAGCCCTGGTGGAGGCCATTCACCCGCATTTTCTCCCTCTCCTCGCCCTGCCTACCCTCACCTTTAACCTCTCCTCCATGTGCCCTGCCCACCCTCAACCCCCTTCCTCACTCCCTCAGGGACCGCTGTACACCGCCCTGGTGGAGGCCATCCGCCCGCACCTGCCGTCCCTCCGCAGCAGCCCCTATGGCAAGCGAATCCTCGCCCGCACCAACCTCCGCCCCAAGTAGCCCTGCCCATGTAGCCCTTCCCATGTAGCCCTGCCCATGTAGCCCTGCCCATGTAGCCCTGCTCGAGTAGCCCTGCCCTGCCCAAGTAGCCCTCTCCACTCAGCTCTCTCCACTCAGCTCTCTCCACTCAGCCCTCTCCACTCAGCCCTATCCCCTCAGCCCTCTCCATGCAGCCCTCTCCATGTAGCCCTGCTTTTGCTGCCCTCCCTGGCTGCGCTTGCTGTCACAAAGACTCGCCCTCTCACACCCTCCCTTTCTTGCACCAACCCCCGCAACAGCTATCCTATACACCAGGTAGCTGTGCTTCGCCTGTATCTCTGTCCTCCTGCAACCATCTTCCATCACCCTTACCTGGACACCCTCGGCCTCCCACCCACCAACTCTGCGTCAGCTGAGCACTCGCACATCTCAGAAGCCCTCAGGGCCAGGCGCCTGTTAGCAGGCGTGAGCATGGTGCAATCACGCACACGTGCACTGCTTACATTGGCCCTTGCAGTGCTAAGCTCATGCAGTTGGATCGCGCACGATACTTCTGTGCCTTTCCGAGTCCCCAGCACCTCCCTCCCTCCTGGTCGAAGTCTGCATATTTATCTGCAGCTGGCTTCCTGTTGCATTCAAGCACGGTGGCTGCTTGCCTGTTGTCACTCCATATCCATTCCATACCCCATCTGGCTGTCCCTGCATTCTGCATTGCTCCAGCCCTTTCCCACCTTTCCTCTCTTCGACATTGTGACGAATCCCAGCTGGCTTTCCTTCCTGCTGTTGTGGTCCCATGCTCCAGTCCAGTCTGCATCTCCTTTAGAGTTACTCCTCCTGGAACAACCTCTGCTCCACGCTCTCTTCCACAGGCTATGTATTTCTATGCATGTCTGCTATTTTCAGTCAGCGGCGTGTATTTTGGGACCTGCCGTTTGTTGTTGTGCTGGTGTTGTGCATTTGTTATGTTTTGTGACTTCTGCCTCTTACTGACATGGTGATTCGGATTGGAAGTACTTGTATGTGGTTCAGCAGTTATCATTTTTTTTAAACATATTACCTGCCCTTGTCCAAGGAAGGAAACGAGGAGATTTATAAGTTGGATAGCATATAGAAACTTGCATTCGCATGCAATAGCATTTAGCACTATTCTAAGGCGCTGCCTAACTGGGATGTAGAAACGAGCAACTACACCGTTAATGCACCTGCAGATTAGCGAGGTCCGCTAAGGGCTAGGGAACAAGCTGCCACGCTGCGGAAAGCAGCGAGGAAAAACAAGCAGATAGCGCCTGAGGCGGGAAAACCTGGGCGGGCAGAAAGCTTGTGCGAACTCTCCCCATTCTCCGCCACCTGCGCTTCAAAACTGCGGATTAATGGCTTTTCCTCTTCTCTCCCCTGATTTAAAAAATGGTTAGCACTCAGTTGGTCCTAATCGTGTGATTCTAAATCAGAGCGCCCAGTCAGGAGAATACCTGACTGATGAGAGTGAGTGAGCCATCAATTATTGCTTGGAATCGTCATCATGCCTCAAATCCTTCCAGAGGTTTCCAGTTCATCATTTTCATTAGCTGTAACTCCGCCGCCTGTAGCACGCCCACCTCCACCAGTGAGACGGCAGACATCGCGGCGGCATTGGGAACATCCTTCTGCCGGCCGCCGTCGAGCTTCGCTGCCGTCCACAGACACGCTGCGAGCAGCACGCGCAGCGCGTTGCTATCGACGGATCCGAGCGGCAGGTCCCGAAGCGCGCGCTGAAGCACGTGCAACGCGAGATCGACGACGCGCCGCCCGCGCAGCGCCAGCTTCGCGCACCACGAGCAGAGGATGCGGCGCAGGCGGTCCGCGGCCTGATGGCGCAAGTTACTGCGCGGAGAGAGGTGGAAATACCCGTCCGCCTGCTCCACGGCTCCTGCCGATGATATCCACGCGGATGCCACTCCCGGCGCTGGCGATTTCACTGCTGCCACTGCCGCTGCTGCCGCTGCCGGTGCTGCTACTGGTGCAGCTGCTAGTGGTGGTGACGACTCTACCAGGACCAGCGGCGGTGGTGAGATGACGGAAACCGTTTGGGTAAACGGCGGAACCGGCGACGGCAGCGGCGCATCAACTGAAGGATCATGTTCGCTGCACGCAAACTTCCTTTTGCCCAGTAGCGTTACGCTGGTAGTAATGTCGCCTGTGTCCGTAAGAGGATTGGTCAGAAAAAACCCCAAACCCTTTTTCGAGGAACCCGCAGGCGCATGTGCCTCCGCCGTTGGGGTGGGGGGCCCGGGCAAGCGGAGAGCGAGCTCTGGTAATTGCTTCCACTCCGCCGCTTCCGCCGGGCCCCCGTCAGCGGCGACATCCGCTCCCGCGACGTCCGCCAGGAGTCCCAGAGGACTTTGCGCGTCCGCCGTAGCACATTCTGCCACCGCCGCCGCCTGCGGCTGTCGCGAGAAGCCGTTGTCGCAGGTATCCGGAGGCGACGTCTTCTCCCCGCATTGCGCGAACTGGTGCGCTTGACGCGCGGTTGCGCTCTCGGCTGACTCGGGGAAGAGCTGGAGCGTCCGCGGAGTCGGGGGGGATCGCGGGGGGACATCGCCAGTGAGGGAGCTGCAGGAGGCGGAGTTGGGGAGCGGAACTTGGTCCGTCACGGCGGAGATGTCGTCGTTGGACCGCGAAAGCGCGTTCAGCAGCGGAAACGCCGCTTCAATCTGGCTCCTGGTTACCGCCGTCAGGCTTCGCGGACCGCCGGTGAAAGAAGATGGCACGGTAAGAAGCGGCGGCTGCTTCTCCGGCTGTTTCTGCTGCTGCTGCTGCTGCACCGAGAACGGGTGAAAAAGGAGATTATTGAGTCCGCTTGAGCCCGCAAGTCCCGGGGGTAGCAATGCGGCGGACGCGTCGAATTTCTGGCGTTTTGGGAGTGTCTCGTCAGGGGGAAGCGGAAGACATGCTCCGCAAACTGCGCGCGGCGGAAGAGCGTTGTTCGCGCCACCCGCCGGGGGCGGCCAGAGGCAGTTGGTCGGCGCGGCGCAGCGCGCACAGAGGACGAAGCGCGCGTGGCGGCGGAAGATGAGGTTGGCGGAATGCACGGCCGCGTCGCAGTCCACGCAGAGGTCCGCACGGTCGGCGGCGCAGCGCACCGCGGCGGTACGCGCGCAAAGGGCGCACGTCGCGCGCACGTGCGAGGGGACGGGGCCATAGGTGGTTTGCGCGCCACCTGAAGCGGAAGCGACTGCAGAAACGGCAGAACCCACGGCAGAGTTGGCGAGAGCCTCAGAGGTGGCGGCGCACGCATCTGGACGACTCGGAGAAGCGCCACCTCTGTCAGTGACAGCAGCTGCTGCTCGCGTCAGCGGATAGTACCGCCGGCAGAAAGGCTTCGACTCTATGCAAGTGGGGAGGTAACGAAGACTGTTCATGATGTAAAAAATCGGAAGGCGGTGGTGCCACTATTGCTGGTCGTAATAGTACTCGGCGCTGCTTGTGCTTTAGTGGAACCTCTCGGTGCAACCAACGGTGACTTGTTGTTACCACGGTGGAGTGGAAACGTTGGAAGGCGTTGCTTTCTGCGGAGCTGTCTTCAGAAAAGTGTCTCTAGGGACAACGGTGGGATGCTGGGGACGTTGGTTCACTGATTACTGGAATGTTGATTTCTGAAAGAAGCTTCTGTTCTGCGTCAAGCTGGCTTGCTGAGTCGACGATTTAACATGTGAAAAGTGCTGAGCTGACGGGCTTCTGGTCGGAGGAACAGGCTCTGCGGGAGAGAGAACATGCGGAGAGTGAAATATGATGGATATGGGCTCTAAACCGGGTGCAAGTACTGTGCAGTGTAGGATATGGTGGGGCAGGACCGAGTGATTCACGGACAGCGGCGGCTTTCGTTCCACCGCACAGTCGGCTGACCTTCTTGCTCTGGACCCAGTGGGCGGGCAGTCAGTGATTCCCGCTTTGACGATGCGCGCTTTGGCGGAAAGTCTTTGTCAGCCGCGCTTTGGGCTGTAGATGAGATGGAAGCGGAGATGGAATGGGACCCATCGCACCCGGTGCTGTGCGCTGTACGCAGCGTGCGAGCTGCTCTGCCCTGACGCTGTGCGATATGCTGGCTGGCTTGCTGGGTGACCCCACAGCAATCAGTGACTCACCCATGCTCCGATTGCTGTGTACTGAGAGCTAGCTCGCTCGCTCGACTGAGTCGTCGGTTCTCGAGAGCAGATGACTACGCTATGTTCGGGGCTGCTGCTTTTTGTGGGGAATTGTGTGGTCAGTTGGGGGAAAGTGGTGGAGGGGTGGGGAGCATCATTCGAGCGCGTGGGGGGGAGGGGGTAGCTGTGATTTTACTGTACGAAAATGTTGTCGTTGGAGCGCACGGGACGGCTGCTGGGACGAATAGGAAATTAGGGATGCATCAGAGTCACTGCTCATCCGCACCATAGTTCCATAGGTGCTAGTTGGGCAGGAAGCAACGAGAGAGCACAACACTGTACAACGCATATGGCTTTTTTTTTTTTCAGGATGGAAAATGTGGTCATTGTTCGCCGCAAGTGGCGGGATTGTAGAGTGTAGGTTCTGCGGGGGATGGGTCTGTTGAAAGATATCCCTCCTATGCTTGGCGTACCTTGTGAAGAAGAGCATTTCGGGCTTGTTGATGGTACAGCGCTGGAATGGCAACACCTGCATTCAAGTCTCATTGGAGCTCTCAACAAAGTCGACCGCCGCTCCACCGACCAGCACTTAGCAGAAGTCTTTCCAGTGGTGGAAAACCACGGTGGAAGGGCGAGCGAAGAAAAGTTGACTGACGCTTGTGTCGACGAAAGGGCAGCTTACGTGTCACGACTCACGATTCGTGTGACCAGCCTGTTGTGAATGATGAGGTGAAAGAGACGTTCATGCAAGCCCTGATTTTTGCACCCGTAAAGATTTTCTTGCTCCAATTCCAGGAGTGTGGGAACGAAGAAGCAGACATGTGGTCAGGAAGGAACCGCCACAAATTTTGGGACCTTGACCGAATGTTCCCATGACCTAGGGGAGTAAACCAGTAGCATACGGCCACGCTCGCGTGGGTCGATATTCCTGCTGCACCTGAAGTCGTTTCTTGATATGAAACGCTGTCAGTTAGGAAAAGTCTTACGGCCATTTTCAGGTGCATGCAGCTTAGTCGAGGCGCGTTATTCAGGTGCATGCCAGGTTGCTTACACTTTTCTCAGGTTAAAAAATGTCTCTCGTAAATTAACACGCAGTTCAAGATTCGATTAAAATTGGCACAAAAGGTCTGAAATAGATGCAATTTCGGGCTACGCAAATTGGAATCGGAATGGTTGGCTCTCGATGCTGCATTTTCTGACGTAACTCAGTGCAATGATTGCATTTTGTCCAATTTATACGCAAATTTCTGCTTTGCACCAACTCATTTCGAACGAATCTAATGCTAGATCTGTTGTACTTTTGACGCAGATGACGGACGCAAATCAGCAAACCCTTCGTGAGTGTTTGTATATTTTGCCTCTACCAAACTAAGTTTGCCGTACGTGCATATTGAAATAGGTGGTATTCAACGGCCTTAATTACGTGGCATTAAATATACATGTAACATACGATATATCCTTAATAGCGGTAGGGGTAACTCACTCTTAACACTCGGGCATATTTATCGTGTTTCGGACTACCCTTTTCAAGCAATGCACGTCCCACTAGAGTTTGCTGATTTGACCCGCGAAGCGTCCGCCACCTGCGCCAACAGTACAAACGATTTAGCATTACAATCCGTTCAAAAAGATTTGGTGCGAAGCAAAAAATTGCGTAGAAACTGGGCAGAAATGCAATCATTGCACTGAGTTACGTCAGAAAATGCAGCATCGAAAGCCAATCATCCCGATTCCGATTTGCGTATTCCGAAATTTTATCTATTTCAGACCTTTTGTGTCAATTTTTATCGAATCTTGAACTGCGTATTCATTTACGGGAGAAATTGTTTAACCTGAGAAAAGTGTACGCAACCTGGCATGCACCTGAATAACGCGCCTCGACTAAGCTGCATGCACCTGAAAATGGCCGAAAAGTCTTATGTGAGTAAGTCTGCAACTAGCGTGCCACCGCATTCATTATCACGTGACCCTCACATGGTTCTTGCTGGAAGTTTGAAGTCTGTCCAGGTTCAGCAGCATCAATATTTTCCAAGAATGGTGGGATAACCGACGCAGTAGTGGATAGAGGCGTGGCCGCTTTTCTACCATATCTCCCAAATGTTTTTAGTGGGGAGACAGTGACTCTGTGTAACTGATGGAACTCCTGGCCCCTCCTAAGCATTTGAAAAATAAGGCACTCAGTTTCCCACTTTGACGACTCATACAATTTCAGTTCAACAAATTGAAGCCTTTAGGATGTGTCATAAACTGCCAGCCACCCCAGTGAATGCGTACTCTCAAGTATGCGCACCACGTGGACAAGATTCCTGCCCCAGTGGTTAGGGAGAGGAAGCGTGCCATTTGGCTACACGATTGGTGTAACTCGATATTCCCCATGGCTCTTGGAAGAACTTTCGTTCTCTGACCAGCCGCAGCGTATCTCTGGTGTAACAGGATTCGTGCCAGAGCGGCAGGCCTCCATCGCAGGATGTTTTACCCGGCTTACGCTGCAATACAGTGTTTAAATCCAACACTTCCATCTATACAACTTTGAGACGATTACCTGGCCACTAGCCAGGTGTAAGGGTTTTTTTCAATCTGCTGTACCCAAGGGCTTCTATGACAACTAAAAAAAGCATTTATCCACACGAGAACGCCGTTCTTTGTCGCCCCGATACTGCTCACACCGAAGAAGGATGCGTGATCACTTGGGCGAAGTCGGCATCGCTGTCTGTCTACGAGTTGATAAGTGAATCTTCGTATGATGGATGACTACGCATGATGAGCTTCGTGTTACGAATGGTAATATTTGATTATTACTGTGCACTCCTCACCGCAGCAAGGGAAGCATGTAGCATCGAGAACGAACACGAAGAGTCAGAATTGATTCGAAGCGTCAGACGGTTAAGACACATCTGGACCGTCGGAGCAGATGGCATCAGACAGCTGCAGGCAGGATGGTTTCGGCGGGAACAGTTTCGTAACTGTACGCGCCGCACGGTTGGGAATGAATTTGAATAAGGGAATGTACCCCTTAGAGTACATGGCTAGCTAGGACGTTTCGCCTTCCCTGTACTCATATTTATATTTGCTGTATTTGCATGTTTTATTCATCTCAAGCATTTTACATTCACTCTGCTATTGAGGTCAAGGGCCCACCAACTTCATTTCTCTGTGCGAACCTTCCCGAGTAGATCCTGGGAACGATCAACTTCTGATCGCAGCATGGTATGAGAGCGACTCAGGAATCCTTCGCACTGCCACTCCCGAAAATTGCGACATTCGGAAAGTGGCGTCCGGCACACGATCGCGTGTGAGAATGGCCGGAGGATCTGGTGGTCAGACTAATCTGACGGCTGAAGCGCAACCCAACCCGGCTGCGACAAGCGAGAACACGACAACGATCGGCACCGAAGTCCTCGCACAACTTCTTCAGCGACTCACCAGCTTGGAGCAAGGGCTCCAAACATTACGGAACGGCGATGCGGGAACATCCTCGCAACCATCTCAACCGGCCCCAACTGGGCAGAACGCCGTCCCGCAAACTTTCTCCCTCGACACAAATGGCTCAACCCCCAAGGCTCCCCGTCCCAGTGAAGAAGCAATTCTCTCAGCACAATCAAAGTTTCTCAGCATATCAAAAATAAAGACAAGTACCTGTTTCGACGGCAGAGACTTCTATACCTGGAGCTTCGAACTGGAGCTCCTGCTACAGAACGCCCAAATCTATCATTATTTCGACGGGAGCTATGCGGAACCCACTGAGGACACCGAAGACGCCAGGACTCGCTACTACAACGAGTCCCTGATGGCGTACGGAATTCTCCTTCGCAACATGTCGCCGGCGGAGCAACTAAACATCCGATCGTACAAGACATCGGCTGCTCCAGCCCTCGACGCCAAGCGCCACCTGAACGGTGTGTATCAGCCGAAGGACTCCGTTTCCTCGAGCCGACTGCTTCAGCAGCTGCTGGAGACCAAAATGGTCTCAGGGGAGAAGGTCAACAGCTACATCAATCGCTGTCGGAGCCTTCGCGATCAAATCGTGAAGCTAGGAAGTTCGATTTCCGAAGAAATCTTCGTGAACATCGTGCTTCAAGGGCTCGGTAAGGCGGCCCTGTAAGGCGCTTCTCCGACAGCAGGGGGTCATCTCGGAGGCCGCCCTCTGCGCCGCACTTCTCGTCGAACAACGGGATATGGATCAGCAGCGACCAGCGCCACGACGAGAAAGAGAACGGCTCGCCTTCTACGCCGACAACACCGAAGAGCGACGGCCGAGGCGCCTCTACTGCAAAATC